TCTCTCTCTCGAAAATCCTGTGCAAGCAACCAATAAAACTTCCCATAATACTGTTTGATAATAAAGCGTCCCATAAAAAAGTGACAGAAAAAAAGGAGAGAGCTGAGTGACAGAAGGATGTGACAATATCAAAAGAAAAAGTGACAGGAGAAAGAGACAAAACAAAAACAGAAGAGAATGAGAGAGAAGAGCGAGGGTTTGCACTATCTGTTTTGTTTTTGTTTTAGTAGAGGTTTTACAGCGCTTGCAACTGCATAAGGTCATATGAGCGCCAGAAGATCAAAGGTGTTACAAGAGAGTAACAAACATAAAAAAGAAGAAGGGGGAGATAAGGACGATAAATGTTTGATAGGAAAGAAGAAACAAACCACACACAGAGCACCCGCCAACCACCCACACTCACTATCTGTCCCTGAGCAGGAGCGAAGGTGAGCAGCACTGTGTGAGTAGCGCCGGGAGACAGAGCTCTCAGCGCATTGAGCATCAGGAACGGCCCGTGGGGGTTGGTGGTGGTCGCACTCAGCTGAGGGAGGGAATGGAGTGTTTACAGTGTGGGGAAATAGAATGTTTACAGTATTGAGAGACATAATGTTTACAGTATGGGGAAATAAAATGTTTACAGTATGGGGATACAAAATGCTTACAGTATGGGGAGACATAATGTTTACAGTATGGGGATACATAATGTTTACAGTATGGGGAAATAAAATGTTTACAGTATGGGGATACATATGTTTACAGTATGGGGAAATAAAATGTTTACAGTATGGGGATACAAAATATTTACAGTATGGGGAGACATAATGTTAACAGTAAAGGAAAGCAACATGGTGATGTTAACATGCAAAATATTTAATTTATAGTGAAGGGACAGAAAACATTTACAGTAAAAGAACACAAAATATTTATAGTAAAGGAACACAACATGTTTACAAAGAAGGTACATGGGTCACTAAAAGAATGCTTCATGTAATAAGCATAAAGTTTAATTTTAGCTAAAAATGGAATTGTTGTTTGGATGATTTTTCTTGTGACTGTAATCAACAGAGGGACGCAGAGTGCCAGTTCAACAAAGATGCCAGACAAAAGGAACTGAGAGCATGCCAGGTGAACTGGTTCATCATAAACTCATTGTTAAGACAAATTCTAATATTATTATGAGAAGCCCAGCTGTCAGAAAAGAGAGACATGAAAATAGTATCAATTATCTGCATAAATGATATTGTTATTACTATTATTTTTATCTTTATCATTACTATTATTATTACTATTATTATTATCAATGTGTACCTCCACATCCTTGTCAGAAATATTCTGGATGGTGACAGATCGAGGGCACGTTTGACCAATGGACACATCGCCAAAGTCCACGGTTCGTTTCCCACCATCAGAGATGACCACAACTGGAGGTTTGATGGCTGGGCAGTGGACGTCCAGATACAGCGTGTTGTGGACACTGGGGGAGGAAAAACCATGACAGTTGTTGAAATGTTTTAACCCTATCCATACGCCGTGTTTTACTATTGTATCCACACGATGTGGCAAACTCTGTGCCATCACTTTCCAAAGAGGAAATTTACTCGTTAATCCGATCTGTATGCTTTGCAAAGCAGTTTGTCGAATTATTTTTTTGAGAAAAGCTGAAAGTTTCAAAGAGATCTTCATACTAGAAGAATTCTAAAGTATGAAGAATACAACCCCGGGGGTACAAAATGACCCCAGGGCGTACGGATAGGGTTAATGTAGAGGTGTTTTTCAACACACATTTAACACAATTTAGTTCATTTAGGAGGCGGGCTTCTAATCCTGCCTGTCAAGCCAACCCTGTCTGAGACGGATACAATATCCCAACAGGAAGGCCAAGATATTTGATAAAAATTTGCCCCATTTGGGAATCAAACTCAGACCCCATGCATGCGACAGCAAAGTGCTTAACCGCTACATCACAGACACAGATACGACTGTTGTTGGCTTAAATCACTGGAATAAATCCGTTCTAGCTACTAAACTCTCTAAAGTTAACAAACTGAGGTTTTTGTCCTTGATAGTCAAGTGGTTACGCTACTGTATTCTCTCTCTCTCTCTCTCTCTCTCTCTCTCTCTCTCTC